AAGTCATTTCTCCCCTTAAGTGTTTGTGTGTTTTTCCTGCTCTAAACTGGCCTCATGGGAATGAATAAGAGAATTGTATTCCCCCCGCCCCCAGAACATACAGCTAGTTTTTAATGGGAAATAAGATTACAGATGAACAGTATAAGAATGGTTTTTAAGACCCTCCTAAAATCTGCCAAAACTTTGGAGAAGTCCCAGAAGCTGCGTTTTATTCCAAAGCAGTGGTCAGGGAGAGGGTGTGTTGGATGGGCAAGGCAAAGAATTTGTTTACTGTCAATTTGAAAAACAAGTTGCGCTACTACGTGATGTTTCTTATGTCTAATAGTTGATAGAATGCTGCAAACTATAGCAGTTACTTCACTTGAGGTTGAAAGAGGGATCCATGGGAACTTTATCTTAAAAATCTAAATTTTTAAATCTAAATTTAAAACAGATTTTGCAGGCAATGTTAGTAATGATCAGATAGCAGTATCTAACAAAATCTAGCTGGTAGAAAGAAATGCTTAGAATTCTACCTCCTGAAAGTTAGAACATTGATAAAATATTGTAGGAAACATCGATTGGTTACCTCCCATACACGCCCTGACCTACCGGAGTCAAACCCGCACCCTGGGTATGTGCCCTGACCAGGAATCGAACCTGTCACCTTTCAGTGTATGGGGCAACTCTCCAACCAACTGTCCCACACCGGCCAGGGCTGATTCTCAAACTCCCCTCCCCCTCCACTTAAACTTTTTTTTTTTTAATATATTTTATTGATTTTTTTACAGAGAGGAAGGGAGAGAGACAGAGAGCTAGAAACATCGATGAGAGAAACATCGATCAGCTGCCTCCTGCACGCCCCCCACTGGGAACGTGCCCGCAACCCAGGCACATGCCCTTGATCGGAATCGAATCCGGGACCCTTCAGTCCGCAGGCCGACGCTCTATCCACTGAGCCAAACCGGTTTTGGCCCACTTAAACTTTTAACGACTAGTTTGAACATCCAGGATGATGTTGGAGATAATACGTGCTTGAGATAATTATTACTGTGATTGTTGCCAAATGGTGATTTTTCTATTCTCATCCTTCTATGGTAAGTAAGAACTTTCTCTGCTCCCCATTTACAAATAATGTCAGTCTGGCATCATGCTATAATTCGTACTTCTTGCAAACATGGTAATGTTACACATAAGTTATCTGGAAGGTATTTGTTTTTAAGTTCATGGTCTGCAAAAGTATACCACACTGAAGCTTGTCTAGAAAATGAAAGAATAGACATACTTTATATATGCCAGTCCATGCTAATCCCACCTTTCAATTTCAATGATGTTTTATTGCTGCCCGTGCTCACCTGTACTTGCCATTGCTCATTCGTTTTGTCTTCTCCCCTTTATGGGTTCTGTTTCCACCACAGAGCTTAAAGCCAAATGGCTGTGTGTGTGTGTGTGTTGAAGATTTTTTAATTGATTTTTAGAGAGAGGGGAGGAGAGTGGCTGCCCCTTGTCTGCCCCTCCTGGGCATCGAGCCCACAACGCCAGCCTGTGCCCTCACCCAGAATAAAACCAGCAACCTATAGGTACATGGAACAGCACCCAGCCAACTCCACCACACCGGCCAGCACCCAAACGGCTTTTACCTGGTATTTTTTGTAAGGTTTTTAAAGTATTATATAACTTATCAAAAGTTGTAATAATGATTTCACTGCCTGTAAATTTAGGTGAACACTATGTGATAGTCTGTGCTTACCAGTTAAATCACTGTGAAAAAAAAATATTTTTTTATTCTTAGCGCAGGGAAAAAGAAATGACCCAGAAGGAGTTGAGTGTGAGCAGCTGTCTTTGGTCTATCAGTGTCTCCCAGCTGGTCAGTCTAATACAACCTTAACCTTATGGGGCTCCAAGCCATTTGCTGCACGCCGTGCACATTCTGCCACTGCCCTTCTCAATTTTCTGAATTCCTTCAGGAGGAAACTGGTTGTTATTGGTGGTGTTTCCCCTTATCCTCTCCTCCTATGTGAAGGGGGATGAAAGAAAAAAATAGCCCTTCTACGAAGTTTTGGAAGAAACTTTGGAAAGAAAATTGAGTATGTATTTCGAATGGTTAGGGACTGAGATACAGTACATCAGACTTTCTGATATATTTTTAAATGAAATTAAGATTACATTGCAGCAATTTGTTTCTTGATTCAGAAGGTATTTATAGGGCTTTGGATGGATCTTCAGGCCAACATTTTAAACCTCTGTTGTCCCGATCTTGGGAAAGTTGGCTTTTCCAGGTCAAATAGAGAAGTGGAAATTTTTTTGTTTTTTAAATTTTGTTTTATTGCTTAAAGTATTACAAAGAGTATTATATATGTCTCCTTTTTTTTTCTCCCTTGAGAAGTGGAAGTTTTTATTGATTATACTTATTTAAATTTGAGGTTTCCTTCAGTTCCCAATCTTTGTGACTACTAGTGAATTTCCAGAGTCATAAAGAATTCTCGTCTACGGCCATACCACCCTGAACGCGCCCGATCTCGTCTGATCTCGGGTGCTGTAGGCTTTAAAAAAAAAAAAAAAAGAATTCTCATTCATGAGCTCAAGTATTCAACAGAGCTCTGAGTCCTCCCTGACCACTGATCTTCTTCCTGCAGGAGGACCTCCGGATGCCGTCGCATGAAGAACTGTTATGCATGGACCTCCCTGAGGATTGTCTGAGGATCAAAGGTATTACTTATCACAAATCATCATACTGGAAATACTCATAAAATTGCAAATTTTTTCAAAAGTGGAGAGCATACTAAACCCCCATGTACCTCACTCAGTTTCAGTGATTACCAGCTTATGACCAGTCTTGTAGCTATTATTCCAGGTATTTCGGCTGAGGTAACTGATCAATGACTTCTTTAGTATTTAAGTATTTAAGTAGTAAGAAGGTAGTCATCTAATAATATAGCTGTTATATTGTGAGTCTGCTTTGTTAATGTTTTAGAATGGAAGCTGCTTAAGACTCTGAATTAGGCATGTCTTTTGTTGTAGTCCTTGGTCCTGCTAAGTAAGTACATTTAAGTAACACTTAATTACCTGTTCCAGTCAGGCACACTCTTGGCCTCTGTCATACTCTGCAGAGAAGAACAAAACCCATGGCATCGTGCACTGGCTTTGCAATTCTTCTTCCGAGTTGGGCATTTTTGTTGTTTGTTGCATGTTTACTTTGCTCTGCCTTCATGAATTTATTTTTTATGATTACATGCTGATTTGGATTTATTTCTTTTGTGCAGAAGGAAATGTACAAATTACAACTGAAACTCTGTTAAAATCTACTGAACAAGTACAAGGTATGAAGGTCAATGGGACTCAGACAGATAATAATGATGGACACAAGAATGGCAGTGTGAGTAAAGATCTCGCAGCTGGGCGCAGCGATTCCCCAAAAGTAGACAAAATCATGACCAGTGGTGAGGTTTCAGAAACCAGCACATTCGTTTCCCTAGAGCCTTTAAACTCTGCGAACCCTGGATTAACAGAAGCAACTCCTAAAGAAAAAGTATGTGAAGAATTAAAAACTTGCTCTTCTTCGTTGTCATTATTACCAGGGAACAGTGCCATTTGCAAAGTGGACCATGGGAAGGAAGAGTTGTGTAAGTTAAGCCTTGTCTGTGAAGCAGATGACAATCACCACCAGATTGTTGGCCACCATAATGAAAAACACGGTTCTGCTCATGGCAGTCCCAGGCCCATGAGAAATGTAGTTGTAGAACCCTTAGGAAAAAATTCTGAAGTTTCCTGTTTCAAATCAAGTTTATCTGGTCCAGAATCCAGAACAGCATCCTTAGAAAAATGTAGTTTTGCAGGTGATGGCTTGCTAAAGAGATCTGCTGAAAAGACAGAGAATTCCTGTTTTGATGGTGACGCTCAAAGCAAGAACTTGGCTTCTAGAGAAGAAAATGAAGAACAGTGTGTGAACTTCAGGTCTGAAAGAGGGGAATTCTTTCTTGTTAATGCCAAGCAACCAGAAGAGGATGCTGGTGGTCCTTGTTCTGGAAAAAAAAAGACTGTTGCCTCCCCAGAAGAAAATGTCCACGATAACTATCGCATTCAAGGCAGTATCCACACAGACAGCTCCAGTTCTCTAATGCCCAAGTCTTTTCCCGAAGCCACGGAAGTCACGTTTAAAAAAAAAGATTTGAATATCACTTCAGACATACAAATTAGCTTAACAGACCCTGAGGGCCATAGAGAAACTTTTACTAATATAAGCCATCCAGGCAGACACTCTGAAGAAAGCAGTTTTTCTTCCTCGATGCAGACCGAAGAGCCAAAACAGACAACCACTATCGAGCCTGGTATGTTAAGTGAAAAGATTTACAGTAAAGACCCTAACTCCTTAGTCAGCACCCAGAGAAACCTGGAAGGTGACACCCAGTTAAATGAAGCATCATATAGTGACTTTATGATTGCAAAAAAACACCTTGTGAGTTTAATGCCAGAGGACCAGATAAGTCTTGTAAATGAGGAATCAAAACCCAAGAAAGATGCTACTCAGCTATTACCATCTCTAGAATTTGGTTGCAGACCTGAGTCAGAAAAATCTGTACAGATCTCACAGGACAGTATTCCACATTTAGATGAACAGAGCATTGCCTGTGAGTTGAATGAACTTCCCTCTACTGATGAACTGGTTCTAGACAAAATAGAAAGTGAATGTGTTTTAAATCAAGTGTCCCTTAATTCTCAAGATCATGCGACATTGTCAACTGACAAAGAGTTGCCTTTAGCACTAAGCGAGGATTCCCAACAGAGCCATCACCCTCCATTAGAGGATGGAGCCAGTGTCCTTACTGATATCCAAACCATCCCCATGAAGACAAAAATGAAAGATATCTCTCCACCAGGTGACAAAACCTGTGGTGCCTTGTCAAACAATTTCACCTTAAATACCAAACCAGGAAGCCTACAAAGAAAAAACGAAATGGCTGATTCAGGAACAGAAGACCTACATTCCAGACTTCTCTCATGTAAGAAAGAAGTAGCAGTCTTGTCTCCAGAGGTCTCTGTCATGGATTGTCAGAGTGTTCAACCTCAGCATCTCTCTAGCTGCCGTTGTGTAGGGGAAAATGCACCAGGAGAGAGCACGTGTTCTGCGTGTGCTGCTTATGAGCCTAGAAGAATCATCCTGGAAGGTGAAAACTCATTGATGATCAACCATGAAGATGCATTTCAGCACAGCGATCACTACTCCCCAGGAAGAGAAGACTCCGTGGAAAGAAGCACCCATAAAGTGAGTTGTACATCAGAGGGAAGTGAACTTAATGGAAGAGAAACAAAGGGCAGCCTTCCAGGAGATAAGATCAGAAACGAAAGGACAGTAGGTATGTTAAATAGTGAAGCTTCCAACAAAACCATTCACGGTACCAATCACATCCAACCCAGTGAGGAAGGGCTAGAATTAAAGGAACAGGATATACCCAAAGAGACTGTGTTTTATAAATATAACAACTCTGATTGTGCCACACAAGAGCTAAACCAATCTATAAACATTCCAAATCCTGAAAAACGATTGGAGCTGTCTCCTGCTAAGTGCCCCAGTTTTAAAAACATGAATCAAGCAGTTAAAACTCTTGATCAGAAGACAGATGAAGTCCTTGACTACCCGAGTAACCCAGACAGACCAGATGAGTACAGAAGCGAAGATAAACCAGCTAAGGGGGCACTAGGTAATGACCAGAGACAGACCATCACAGATCCTAACACAGGGGAAAGCTGTAACCAGAAGAACCTGCCATTAAGTTCCGGCAATAACAACTCATTGTCTGGTGGTAGTCGGAAGAAAGGCTATTTGAAAGGAGGCTTTGAAAGGATTTCTAGTTGTGGTAAGTCCACAGATGGTATGGTAGACATCGCCTGCACAAACTGTAATAATAAGCCCAGAGAAGGCATGCTGGACACACTTGGTGGTGTGCGGCAAGGTGGACTGGCATTAATTGAAACCTCAAGGAGTGCCCTGTCTCAGAGAGGAGACTTGAATGCTGCATTTACAGGACAGATTGACCAGGATTCAGAATTCCCCGATGCTACTTCCTCTGCAGCAGAATCTCTTGAAATAAAAAAATCATGTGAAGAGAAAGTTTGCAGATCGTTAAACGATAGTGAAATGGAAGTGCATCCAGACCCTTGTGCCAATGAGATAGAGTCTATTGCAGATCATGAACCAAATACAAGAATATTGGATGGAGTAAATGTGTCTTTAAATCATAGTCATCATGAACAGCAAGTTAAAGAAGCATCTCTGAGAGAAACACAAGAAATGGTTGAGAAATCAAGACTAGAAATACATTCTGAGTTTGACAAGGAAAATATCTTTGGAATTTCCTCAGAAGAGTTGGTGTCTAGAAGACACCAAGACGAGAACTCGGTTCTCCCAGAGAGCCTTGGATCCATTGAGATAATGCCATTGTGTCTCTCTGCTCAAGGAGCATCAGAAGCTAATGTTAAAAGTGAAGAAACTGACATGAAAAATATTTTTAAACCAAAAGATGGTGAAATGCTTTGTGAAAATGTAGAGGATTGCACAGTCCTCCCTGAGATGAAGGAAGAAGTACCAAGGAATAGGAGTAATCCCGGCGAAGGAAACAGCATTGACATCAGTATGAAAATTTTGCCTTTGATGATGGAAACAGAAACTAAAGTGAAAGGGGAAGAAGCCAAAGAAGATCAGAGGGGACCACCAGATCACGCACCTGCTGGGGAGGAATCTGACGAGAGGATTACCAGAGAAGATGGTCATGGTGATGACAGGAGTGAGGTTTCTCAGACACACTGTAAATCCCTGAGGATGTATGGTGACGCTGAAGAACAACAAAGCCAGAGGGATTTGGACTCCATGTTGCAGAAGGCAGAGGAATATGAACATCAGAAAGAAGCACATACACTATTGGAACAATGTACATCATCTAATATGTTGTCAGATGAAGTGCAAAATCAGAACCAACCCAAGGATTACAAATGCGAGTACACCAGGGTGAAAGAAGTCACCCCAGCACAGCTGGCCCAGGGTAACATTACTGCACGGCTTCAGAAGTTGAAAGATCCAAAGGAGGAAAAATTACGTCATCCATTAAAAAAGGACATTGAGCTGTGCATAGGTCCTTGCCTTCATAGTGCCCCCCAGAAATCCCAAGACCCCAGCTCTGCTAGGTGTTATGAAATACACGGTGCCTTTGGGAACACTTCCCATCAGAAAGGAGTGCTTCCCTTGAAGCAGCAGCCACATCGGGCATGTAAGAAAGTTCCCTGTCAGGAACAAGTCAGTATCGGGAGGAGAATAAGTAAAATCAGGAATTCTGCCTTTTTAAAGAATTCTTCTGAGACCATCCCCACAAAAGCACACAGACTTCTCAGCTCACCTGCTATGTCTGCACCCACACAACTGGAACCCGACACAGTACCTAGCGGGAGCCTAGTTAGACACATACCAAAGCAGAAGGCTACTCCGTGCCATCTCTTAAGGAGCCTGAACGTCAGGAAGCCCACCAAAGAATCAGCCTTACTCAGCAAGCTATCCGTCCTTGCCTCCAGGCTGGCCCCAGCCTCAAAGACCCACAAACTAAGGTATCGGCGGTGTTCTTCTGAACTCCTTCCGGTGGCTAAAAGCTACAAGCGGCTCAGATGTAAAAAGCTCCTGGATGGGTTTTCAGACACTATGATGCAGCTGAATCCATATTTGACAGCCAGTGGATGGGATAGGAGGCCTAACAATAAACCCTTGACACTTTATCCACTCGAAGCCATCAAAATGAGCTTCATAGATCTGAGCAACAAGATGCCATTGCTGCTGTTGGGTTCTGGAATCTTCCCCATATCCTTTCACGTGAAATCAGGCTCCGAGCGCATGCCTGAGGCCCCACGGACTTTTCCTGAGCACTGTGCTCCGGCGAGGCTTGCCTTAGGGGAGGCCCCCCCTTGTCCTTCTCAACCTCCCAAGTGGACCTTTTCCTTCTTCTTGTCCCACGGTTGCCCTGGGATGGCCACATTCAGGGAAGACACTGGCCTCCATGCTCAGGCACATTCCCAGGCTCCTCCACAGCCTCCAGCTCCTCTCCAAGACTACGGAGGCACCGCCATAGTCCAGACCAGAACAGGCTGCTCTGTCCTTGGCCTTCACACTCTCCTAGCACTTTGTTCCCCAGGATGCTACCGAATCTGGACAAAAAAACGGAGCTTCTCCAGTCACATGCCTACCATGCAGAGGCTCTTCATGACTCAGTTTACACAGGGCTTGAGGGGGTTAAGGTCTCCAGCCTCCATAGCAGACAAGATCTTCTGTTCTCTGCCCTATTCGGTGGGCCGAGTGCTGTCCGTTTGGAGCCAGCATGGGCCTTCTGCCTGCCCCTTCGAAACTTCTGCTCTGCATTCTACTCACAGCAAGCGACCGCCAACTCTGGACATCACAAGCAGGTAAACTGTCCCCTGTTCTTTATAAGTGTTCCGTCTTTGCTGCCTGCCATCAGGGAGAGGGAGGGCCACTGCTGGATATGCAGGGCTATTGGGAGCTGTGTCTGCATTCTGTTTATACCTTGCCCAGTCTCTGCTGAGAAAATGGGGCAGTAATTTAAATGCAGACCCCTCTAATTTCCTGCCGAATCCTTCATTTGGTGCCATTCTTTGTTCTGTTCCATTCATTCTGCAAACCATCAAATCTTTTGAATGTCTTTTCTCCTCTTGTCCCTACTCTGAACAGAACAACATGACAAGTTAAGTAGTGACAAATAATGGCTTGTAACTATAACTTGTTCACAAAGTATTATATAGCCAGAACCTAATTCAGAGTTTGGTGTGTAAAGAAAGGATACAAAGAAATACTTTTTTAACAAGTTAATTACATAGGCGTCACCAAATCTGGTTTGTGAACCTTCGCATTTCTTTCTGGAACAGAAAGGCTTCAAAGATTGGCATTTACATCCTATAGCTGCAGAATTTATAGAATTTTACGTGAACTTGGAAGAGAGTTCTTGTGGTTTGACCACTAGGAAAATAATTTCACCAGTACCATTTTACCTTCTAATTGAAAGTTAGAGAAGAAAAAGAATTGAGAGTTATATCCCTAAAGGTCTGCTTTAGATGTAATGGATACATCCTCCCGTTTGTAACCCTTGGAGTAAATAGAGACTTTAAACATGTTTTATGTTGCCCATATGGTTCTTTCCTCCTCCTTTCTCTTACTGCCCTCTGCTTATTTCTGCCTTCCTTTCCTCTGAGTGAGAAAATCATCTCCCTGTCCGCCGGCCTCCCTTCCAGTGATGAGCACATAAATGAAATGCTCCCAACTGGGAGATTGGCATCTTTCTGAGTGACTGGCATTTCTTATCTTCCTGGGGCTCTAATCGACCGTCATGTGCTAAACCCATAATGACATCAAAACGTTTTCTGTTGTTCCGCTGCCCTAACCTATTGTTCATGTACTTTTGTTTCGCTTCAGCCACACCATGTTACCGTATGTGCCTCTTCCAGGCATGGAAGCTACTTACAACACCAGTGGCGGTCAGATGAGGTAAGTCCAATGGTGCTGGCGCATGAGGACTTGCGGAGTGAGTGAGTGTGCGTGTGCGTGTGCGTGTGGGGGGGGAATATGGTAGCGGATGGTGTGGATCAGGCCTGGTGTGATTCTGAGCTTTTGTTTTTCTTCTAAACCAGATTGAATCTTAGATTCAAATGTGTTTTATTATAAGTAACAACTAAGAATATGTAATCAATAACAAATAAGGGGGGGATCAAAATCACTTAGCCAGCTCATTATACTGTAAGTTCCCTCTCAAGCTATTTTTGGTCATTTAGCCCAACTTCAGTGCCTGGATGGGGTTGATCTCATCTGCCTACATTTCATTTGTTTCGTTCACTAAATGTCTTCTCCCTTCCAAAAAATCTGTTCCTTTTTACATTTTTCTTTATTCATTACCTTTTCCTTATTTTATTGCTCCATACCAATGAAATGGATTGACCGCATTCTTATAAATTGTTATATACGCAGACACAGGCTATGTCCAGATGTGACTAGAGATCAGGTTGAAATGTCATTGCTGGCAAAAGGCTTCAACCTAGTCTGGGGGTTAAGTTGAATGTGCTGAGGTAGAAAGTGAGTCCAATCCTTTCTCTTGTGTTTTTTTCTCGGTGCTGCTAGGCTAGAGCCTCCGTTCCCTGCCCTGGTACCAAAGTCGTGCTTGGTAACAGACTCGGCTGTCGGCAAGCTCCTGCTGTCAGCCTCTGAGTTCCCAGTTCCTGGGTTAGATGAACTGGATGGTGTGACAGCAGCGCGCCCCCGTCCACAGAGCAGCCCTCCAGAGCAGAAAGAGGTGAGTGAAGTGCTCCGGGGTCAGGTGGCAGAGGCACTGGAGATGGCCATCGATGATGACAGATCACGTGATTGGTACACATGGGCCCTGACTTAGCTTCAGCTGAGTCCTGGAGAGTACCAAGAGGAGGTTTTCTGTTTCTCCACTGCAGGCTACCCTGGAGCTCTTCATCTACATTGTTTTCTGGATCTTTTTTTCTTAATGACAGAATGTAACACTGTTTAGAGAAGTAGACCACAGCGCGGCTTCATGCATTCAAAGAAGATGAGTGAATGACGGCATTTTTCAGTTTTGCAGTATCTGCTGTCTCCAACAGATAATGATAGGGTTCTCTTTTAATAATATAAAATAGGATAGTTGCTGAAAACACTGGTGGCAGGAGTAGCAGGGGAAGCTTTGTCATAAACTACTTAATAGAGTCATCTGTAAATGGAGGATGTGTATCTTGAGGGTGAAAAAAGGGACTTTATATTTTTTTAAAACATCTTACAACTTGACGTATCTTTCTTTTTAACCCTTAAAAATAGGCTGAGCCAGAAAAGAGGCCAAAGAAAGTCTCACAGATTCGCATCCGGAAAACCATTCCTAAGCCAGATCCTAATCTTACCC